ATTATAACTTATAACTATTTTAACTAAATTCTAATCTCTGTGATGTTTATATATGAAAAAAATCAACATTTTGTTGCAGAAATGAAAGAAATCCATTCATGCCCAAAGTAACCCTAAACAGGCAAGTCAACCAGCTGATTGACCTGCATATCTGCTTCCTGATTGGGTAATCCGAAAAATATAACCTGAAATGTTGCCTAATGAAGAGGCAGGAACACAATTTTAAGGACAAATATTTTTTTGCAAATGGATTTCTTAGTGTGAAAGTCAAAGGGTTAAATTGTTTCTCCAGTGATATAAATATTATTGTCCTGCAGGCAGTCGGAGTGTGATTCCTGTTGTTCTGTTGTGTTCTGATGTGCAAATGAAATGAAAGTAATGCTACAGCGGTTTAACAGGTGTAGCCCCTGCAGCCCTCTCAGCGACCCCACTTTGGAATCCTCCGCTGTAGAGAAAGAACTTTGAAGACTACATGTGGGGAAATATTGTATTAATGTATAATCCTCCCATATTCGCTTGCTTTTATAGTTTCCATCCCATGCTTGTCACCCGAGGTCATTCCAGCCTCTACAAAAGACCTACTTTATGTGTGTTTCTATGTGATTCCATTGTGGATGTAAATCTTTGTACTCAATGAAAGAATGGAGAATATATTTCTGAAATACACGTTAAATCACATCCTGCAAATACAACACATTGAAAATGATTATATTCCTCAGAGGTATAGAGGAGCTTTACATAAAGGGATCTGATTGTGTTGTTATTCAGAGTTTTAAGAGCTTCTGTATTAAACTTTAACTTTAGGATGTGTGGCAGAAGAGAAGAGAAGACAGTATAAATGTTGGGCTAAAGACGGACCGCGTCACATCCAGCGGGAACAAAAGCATTAACTAGAGAGGAAGAATCCTTTTTAAGTTGAGGTTTTTTGGGGCCTAATGAGGGGCTCGATGACCACTGAGATTCCTAAGCATAACCTAGCGTCCCAAACACTACAAGGGTGTAACAGCACGGATCCCTGTGACCACAAACATGTAGAGATGAACAGAAGAATCCTCCAATGTCAGGTTATAGCTTATTTTCAGAGTTTAGAGGTGTGTCTTTCCAGCTGGTGGGTGTGGCTTCTACACATTTATCAACAAATCTCAAAGCAGAAATTACATCTCCAATCAGTGAGATGTGTAGTGAGGTAAATGATAAAGTGAGCTTACTATCTGATCAGACATTAAGGAAACATGTTATGTTGAAGTGCTGGCTTCTCTGACAACAATGCAGCAGCCAGTATGTCCTCCTTCTAACTTTAGATTCTGCTCCTGAATGCTTTGGATTTGTTTGGACCAGAGAAGATAGGCGCTTTTAAGACACCTCCCACACGGCCGTTTTGGACGCCCCTCGGTTTGTCAGATATGAGAGCAGTTATCAGGTCAAACCAACAGGTGTTGCAGCGATAGAAGCGGGCAAGAGAAGTGGTTCAGATAGAAGTGATTGTACCCGCCCTAAAAAGCCTCTGCATGTTTCTCATAAGCTCCACGGACAGGAGATCTCTGGAGCTCCCAGGAAAATTTGGTTTGTTACTAAGATTTTCAGATAGAAACATGCAGTAATATGATGTGAATGCAGGGAGAGAGAGAGAGGGCGAGATAGGAGCTCAATGCCAGTTCCCATCGGTAAAAAGTGTGAATCTTGATCATGTTGATCAAATCCAGTTTTACTTTGAAAAACCAGGATTGAATGAGGATGTGTTACCTGATCCCAGATCAAATAAAAAAATCAGATTTCCAAATCCAGAATAAACTTTTTTGATATCCTGGCCCAAGAAATTAAAAATGATTCATTCTGTTTTATTATTAGAAGTCTGTATATTTGTTTCTATGTTTTGCTTTATTGTATAAAACAAAAGTTTATACTAAAAAGCTGACACTGAGTCAGAGGTTAAAACAGACCCCACAGTATAATGACTTTTCTGTGAAGAGAAAATAAATACTCATTACTTTGTCAAAATAATTGCTTTCGCAGCAGTTGTGACGATATGAAGAGCAATTAAAATTTCAAAGGTATTCATTTGTGAATCATAACCCTCTCTATTTTTTACGGCTGCTGTCGAAACGTGGCGAGCTTTGTGAAAGAGGATCTGTCCCTTTAAGATATAACAGTTTGAATTTTCAGGTAATTATTCACATCAAAACACATTTAAACTCCTGCAAGGTGTTGATCCTTTTCCACTGTTCTTCTAGTTTAGAACTTATTTCTGTATTTTTTGGGAAATACAGAAAAAAAGTAAAACTGACATATTTCTGTATGTTGTCGATATGACTCATGTGATCAATAATTAGGCGTGGGTGATAAAGCAATTAAGATAATTATTACAAATGTTCAATAAAAGTTAGATAAATTAAACCTGTAATTACACCATCCAAACACTGGGAAATGTGGGGCGCTAATTTGCCTTGAACGCTAGTTGCCACCCGAAATTAAAGAGCAGAAGAGAAAGACGAACAGCCCATCATGTCGCAGGGATATGGCTCAGCTGGCTTGCAGACATTTGGAGCCGAATAGAAACACAGCCGAAATGAGCGATAGCGAATCTGAAGAAAACGCTGAGCCTACTGACTCAAAGCAGGAGAAAACATTGTCAACAAGACGACAAGAAAGGCTGCTCAACTTCCAGAGTTTGGAGATATTTTGGCTATTTACAGTCCGACAAAAACGAGTAACATGATCTATTCACTGTGCTGAAGACAAGTTCAGCTAAAACGGGAAACACAACCACCACTGTTTGAAACAAAATGACCCGTTAAAACACAGCAAAGGAAATAAATGACCAAATGACCAAACGCCCAAACGAGCGTATTATAAATAATATAAACAGTCTATGGTGTGGACCCTCAGTAAGCAGTAAGTGTTACTGCCCAGCAGCTAACTGTCATATCAATGTTTTCCAGCTCCGTACTCTGATTATGATGGGGAAATGTTCTTCTGTTTAATTATAGTTTGTCATGTTCTGACAGTAAAGAATAATTTAACCACAATTTATGGTCTGGTTTTTTTCAACTTTCACTTACAGGCAAAAATCTGACTTTCAAAGAAATAATGATTGACATTATTATAATTATCGATATCGACTGGTATGAAATTTTTATGGTACATATTTAGTCATATCGCCCAGGCCTATCAATAATAAGGGGTTAATAGAAATCCCAGAGATTAAGCTGTGGTGCAACGTGTGTTGGGTGTGAGGGGTGGGTGTGGTTAGACACGCCCACTCGCTCCTTCTTGATGTCACCCTTCAGCTGCAACATCATACAATCTATGCAACACGCACACACACATAAACTACATTTATAGTACATTTACATTTCGTAACAACAACAATCATTAGTTCATTACTAATACAGCTCTGTAGTTATTTTAATATTATTTGGGAACATGTAAATTGTAATTCAGTCCGGTTTCTTTTATTTGTGTGCCGCTGCATGGCGAGCTCTGCAGTTGGATAGTCTGAGTCTTTACTGGGTTTGTTGACGACAGCCGGCACCACATACGTCACATGCGTCTAGATCAGCCAATACATTTTTATAAAGTTTCAGTATCTAGGTTTCAACCTGTGGTAGGGCAGTCACTACACATATTTTTAACACATTGAATTTAAATGCTTTGTACTGAAATGTGGAGATAAGCACCTAGATCAACAACACTACCTAATAACCTTATACAGAGGGTCTCAGCCGACTGGGGTCTGGGGTCTTTAGTTACTCGTTAAGGAAACTGTGACTAATACACACAGCAGCTACAGAGAGAAGTTAATTAATTAAGAAATTATGTTTGTACGTTGATGTATGTTGAATATCTATTCCTCTTTGTTCTCTTTTTTGGTCTCCACCAACTCCTGAGAAACTAATTTTAAAGTCTGCAGCTTCTAAGTCATCCAATATTTTCACCCTTTTGTGATTTTCTCACTTTTTGTCCAATCGAGTTTTCTCTTGTCCCGCCCACTGTGCTGTGATTGGCTAAGGAAGCCAAAAGGTCAAATGTAGGACTTTCCTCGTGCAGGGCTCAGCTGTTCCACAGAAATCTGATCAGATTAAAGTCATCAGATTAGATCAAATCTTTAATAAATAAAGATTAAGTGGTTTATAAAATCGGATAAGATCAGTGTTTAAACAAAATGTATTTACAGAAAGGAACAACAAACTCTGCAGATTGTTGTTTTAGTAACTGAAAAGATATGTTCAGGTCAGGGTGTTTGAGATTTGGAAACACTCCCTGACTCTAAATGTGACATTAACTTACTAAATGAACACCATGTTGTAGTGATGAAGACTTCAAACTACTGATTCAGAACTTAAACTCGTTGATTCATTCTGTGCACACAGTGTGCAAGAGTTTGCCTCCTTTTTGATGGACTCATTCTTCTCCTTCCCTTCTGTCTTCAGATGTAGTTTTTGTTTTTTAAGCTTGAGTACTTTTACAGAAGAGATGTCCAAAAGAGATTTCATCCATCCATTTTATGGAGGTCGGGTCACAGTGGCAGCAGGCAAAGTAAGTCAACCCAGATTTGAACGGGTATATTTACTTCCTGAACCTGAGCGTCTCTGTTGAGCTCTATAAATTGGGGTTTGGCTGAGGCTGTGGTGCAGGGGACCATTGTGAGACCTTTTCATGGGGGGCTTAGAAATCCTTGTGACGCCCCTGAATGGGAGTATCAGCTGTACAAAGTATATATATTTTTTTTTAATAAAAGAGAGAGAGTCAGGAGATTTGAAAAGTCAAGATAACACAGTAATGTCTAAAGTCACTTAAAACCTATAATTGAAACATCTGCCTGCTCAGATAATTCTACCTTTTTGTATGTTGTTCCTAAAGGTGATGATAATGATGATGATGATGGCCTGAGGAGGAGAAAGAGGAGGGGGGAGAGAGGAGGAGGAGGGGGAGAAGGAGGGAGGGATATCACCAGTTAATAACCCCAGCCTCCTCTGGCTGTCAGCATCATGATCGCACAATGTACCGGGATCTCTTCAGCAACGCAGCCGCGTCGTGATGACTGTCCGCGGGCAGAGCTGCAGCCCGGTGACGCTTGACATCCCCTCGGTGTGAATCTGGAGTCTTGGCACACACTCACTCACACACACTCACTCACACTCAGAGGCTGCGCGCACTCTGCTCCGACACATTCCTCCGAGGTTTCTCCTTTCTTCCATCTGGGGATTTGAAACTTGAGGGACTTTAAAGCGTCGCAGGGGGGAGAACAAAAAGGTCTCTCGGCCTGACGGACTGACTGGAGGACGGATCGTGTCGGTGCGGTGCATGTAGAGGGGCAGGCTGGGTGTCTGTCTGCGGGGCGCACAGCGGTGCTGCTGGACCAGCCGAGAACGCACCAAGTCCCGTCCCACATCCCCGTCTTACCCCCGTTGTCCCGTGCACTTCAGCCATGATTCTCCCCGGGTTTGTGATCTTTCTCTTCTTCTCAGGTACGTCCACTGATCTCCACATTATCGCAGTAAAAGAGATAAATGTGCTGTTTGAACATCCAGTCTTTGTGTGGATGATCTCCGACGCGCAAGTTGGAGGATGAAGCTGGAGAGAGAAAAGTCTCACTTCATCGTTGCAGTAAAGACATATTATTCCTTCCTCTTCTTTTTTATTATTTTTTGTGACCATATTCCTGTTTGGAGTCTTTTCCCCTTCAGTCTTCTTCTTCTTATTTCACTGCTCTCTTCTGGGCTCGTTTGGTTCATTTCACGCTCTTTGGAGGCACGGAGATGTAAAAGAAGTGTTTCGTCTCTTTTTCCATCAAAACTTTTCAGCACTGCGTGTTCTCTATTGGCTGTGACTTTAAATCTCGAGGTATATTTTTGTTGGTCTCCTTTGCTCTGGTTCTGCGCTCTTAGTCCAAAGCATGACAGTAAAAGGCTAACACCAGCAGGCTACGCCCTTTGAGCTCCAAATCCTGAACTGAAACTTTACAATAAGTCAACACAAACATGCACGGCTCTTTTCAGCCTTTCACTCCCTGCAGTGATTTATTTTGTTGTTGTAATTTTTTACTATAATGAAAAATAATTTCAGACCATTTTTGTATAAAAGTCAGTCTTCCACATTTTGTAGTTCAGAGGTTTTAAAAAGCATCAAGCTGACTGCTTTCAGATTAAAAAAAGTTAAAATGAAAGCAGAACCTTCATAATGAAACGAGTTGTATCAGAAGAATTGTTTTATTAGGATAAGCTGTAAGCGTTCAAAACAAAGAGTAAGTCATATTTTAGTGGTTAAGCTCTAGGTTTTAATTCCATTTTATCTTGTGTATTAAATCAGTGTTTTTTTTAACTTCCTCAGAGCTTCTCTCTTTTTTTAATGTATCTCTATGTACTTAACAATAATGAAGAGAATTACAGATGATTCTCCTCAGTGTGCTGACAGTTTGAATGCCTCTTCATCAAACCTCCATTGATGCTTTAACTTGTGTTTTTGTGTGTGAATCTCTTAGTTTGACTCTAAGGTGTTTATTTACACGTCTTTTTGTTTTCTCATCGATTCATCGCTTTCTAAAGATGTCTGCCCGCCCTGACAGAGATGGGAATGTGTTTCCATGTCTTGAGGAGAACTCTATAGCTTTGTGTTGGAGCTGATCATTTGCAGGATAACAGGATGAAAAAGTTTGTCTGGATTTGATGAAAACATGATGTGTAAAGAGGAAGATACATTTCCTCCTGACAGAATCACACATCGAGTGTTGAAGCGGCTTAAACACAGTTTGATGTTGTCATTGTGGCTTTCTCATGCTGGCTCTGTATTTAATGATCTGACTGTTTGATTCTGAGCTGTTTCTGCTCATTCCTTCGTCTTTACTCCGTGTTGAGTCCAGAGGTAATGTGTGTGTGGGCACTCCTCATTTGAAAAGTGTCAGGAAGCAGAGCCACAAACACGCTGCACAGTGAAGTCCTGAAACAACCATCTTGTGTGTTCATGGAGCCGTGCTGCTGACAGGAGGGCATGCTGAAACAAAGAGCGGGACTTCAAGGGGAGTTTGAGCACCAAGGGAGCGAGAGTGGAGTCAAGGTCGTCGAGGCGAATTGTCCCTCCTTACACACACATTAACACACACACTTTGTGCGGCTCGGTGTGCAAGGACAGATCTGACCTGACGGCGAGTGAAAATGGCCGAACACAACAAAAACAAGATGAAAGCAAACAGTGGTTAATAAAACGCACACGGGTCAGCGAGCAGCAGGGAGTGTTAGAGTGAAAGCTTCACTGGCTCCTTTCTCCTCACCTGGGGAGAAACTTTTGCTCAGCCCTGAAGATTTTAAAACAGCAGGACGCGATTTAATCGTCAAGCGATTGACTTCTGATTTCTCTTTTTGACATCACTGGAGATATGAGAAGTCGATATTTTCTCTCCATGTTGTTGAAAAGGTGAAAAGCTGACTCGCTAACAGAGCAGTACGAGGACACGCCCAAATTAGAAATGTCTGTCATCTAATTATTGTAATATTTAACCCTCAGCACTCTGCAGAAGAACCAGTTTAAAGTGCCTGATCTGATGTTATTTTTTAAATGCTGTAATATAGATACAACCTAATCTGAAGGGTTATAAAAGGAAATCAAACCCGGATCATTTGTATAAAGTATTGATATTATGTCATAAATTAAATAAAACAGAAATGTTCTTTTCAGGAAATTTGGCAAAACTAACACAAAACATATCGAACAAAAACAATTCTGAAGTTAGAAAAAAAATCAATTTCTGAATTCTCAAAGCGTTATTTTGAACTTCTTACTTTATGACCTTTTTGAGTCTTGCTCATTTTTTAGAAAGCAGACTGTGATGATGTTTTTTATTTGCTTTAGAAATGTTACAACTATGTTAGTATTTTCTCTTCTTGTGACGTCATGTCTGAGCCTATCGTCCATCATAATAATCATAACAACTTTATTTATTTAACAGCTTCAGAAGCAGAAAAAAGAAAGGCAGTAAAGTCGAGAAAGTTCACACAAAAAGGCAAGAACAAAGTCAAGCAGAATGAATGAAAATAAAAGAGAAATTAATATAAAAAACACAATTAAATAAATGAAAGAACAAAAGCAATAGAAGACGATGAAAAAGATTTCAGCTGAAATCTGATCAACCTTAGAGTCCTGTTAGTTTTCTTCTAAATGTAAGAGTTTTTATTTGAGAAACAGTTTCAAACACACCCTGCTGCCTGCATGCTCTCCTCCGTGTTGAAACGCACCTGAAGCACACAAGAACGTCATGGAGAAATGTACGGCATGGCGAGGGGAGAGCTGGAAGCTTTAACTTTCGATTATTAAAAGAATAAAGTCCACAGCTGGCATAATTTTAGATTAAATGAAACAGGCTCATGCTGACGGTCTACCTTCACCAGCCACAGGGGGGCAGCATACTCAGGGTCAACAGACGAGAGTGAAAATAATCTTCTCACACTCACAAGCATCTTGCTCCTTCTTGCTCCTTCTTGGATCTGGAATGACTCACCAATCAATGATATACTGAAGCATAACGAGGATGAGGATGATGAGGATGATGATGATGATGATGATGATGAGGATGTTGATGAAGATGGAAGCTGAGATTGTTATGATTGATGTTTAGCAGTGTGTGAATTCTAACACCGCATGAAGAGTCACATACATGCAGGGGTGTGTCCACTCTTTTTTTGACTGGTGGGATTCCAGCTGGGGCAAGAAGGGGGAGGGACCCAGCTGCATGGGGGAAGGGGGGGGGGATGGCACATGGAGGTCATCAATAACATGGTCCATCCTAAAGTGAAGCAATGATCACCAGATTTTAAATCACCTGAATACTCAACACAACTTATTGAAGAATCAAAAATAAATCTTTTATTGATTGTTGCTTCAGTAAAATGTAGCTGGTTTCAAAGTTTAAACACCCCTTTTGAACGGAACTGTTGCGTAAATACTGGACTGTGGTTGTCATGCCAAGTCCTGCACAAAAGTTGGGAAGCTTAAAAAGAAAAGAGGAGAGAAAGACAGAGCTGTCTGAGGCATTTGAGCCCAACAATAACTTAACAAAGATTAAGTTAGCTCTAAATGCTAATCGCAGCCAGAACGAGGAGACGAGTGTTCTCCAGGACGCTAACGCTACTGATACGACATGCAAGGGTTAATATTATAAAATTGAATCTGGTGAGGGCCCCTCTGGCAAGCAAATAGCCAATTGGCTTTTGAGGTGGCACCTGGGTTGGCCAATCAGATTTCAGCATGACACCCTCGGCCACCCCTCTGTCCACGCCCCTACATGCATGTTACACATTACCTCTATTTTCAGAGCGCTGTTTCAGGGCGCAACTTTCAAAAGCTGTGATGTTTGGTCTTGAGTCTGAATGTTGCAGAGGAGTAATGGGGCGAGGAAATGATCCCACCTCTGTTTCTCCCATGGAGGCAGTAACAGGGGAGTGACGGGCCCAGTGTATGTGTGTGTGTGTGTGTGTGTGTGTGTGTGTGTGTGTGTGCATGTCTGACTCTGTGTTTATGTGGAGCTCCTGCTATGCTGAGCTCCCTCATGCTTCCACAACGCCGTATAACGCAATGAGAATTCACAGACTGGGAATCAATTTTATGTGATATCGGCAGAGCTTTGTTGCTGTAAAGCAAAGCTATAGGCTGCAACAGCTTTAATCAGGCTTTCAGGACGCACACAGAGTAAAAACAAAACACACCAGAGAGAGTCCAAAATGAAGAACCTCAACAATGAAGAGCACACTCACAAAACAGAACAGAACTATAAAAAAAGAAACAGACCATCAAACGGTTAAACCACTGGGAGGAGATCTTTGGTCAATGGTAAATGGTAAATGGACTTGAGCTTGTATAGTTCTTTTCTAGTCTTCTGACTACTCAAAGCACTTCTACACCACAGGTCACACCTACACATTCACACACTGATGGTAGAGACTGCTGAGTAGTGAGACCATCAGAAGTCACTAATCCTATTCATACACATTCATACACATTCACACACCACTGACGGGAGCAATTCAGGGTTAAGTGTCTTGCCCAAGGACATGTGGCTGCAGGAGCTGGGGATCAAACTCTCGACCTTCCGGTTGAGAGATGACGACTGGGTCACTTTCAAAGGTTACCTTGAGGACCTCCTGCTATGTCTGCACTATTTGGTGTGACTCCATCCACAGTATTACGTTTAGAAGCAGCCTTTGTTACCCCCGCCTCATATTATTGAATTGGAAATCCTCGACACACCCCTCACATGCATGATGGATAAAAGAATGCCTTCATACGGCCAATTTAGATTGGTAGGTGATTTTTGGTAGGTGATTTTTTTTAAACCGCTCAGTTTTTATTTTGAATACGTGTTATTAATAGTAATGTGCGTAGCTGACATGATTGACAGGTGGGCGTGATGTAACAGTTCATCAAGAGGTTTAAAACCCGCCTCAGCTCCAGCTCTCAGCCTGTCGTTAGGTTGACTGAA